GGCGTTGTTCATGTAGCTGTAGCTGTAGGAGCTCTATCATCCTCTGCAAGTACAATGCAGACTTGAAGGTGTTCAGCTATGCTCCTGAGAAATAATGTTGAAACCATTTGTACTAAATGGTCCGAAAGAGGCCCGGAGTTAACATCTCATCGACACATGGACGCGAGTGAACTCATGGATGCTGAGTTGTACACCCGCTCATTTATCTTAACTGTCCTGCCAAAAAACTTCGTTAAGGATTTTCTTAAGAGTTGTTGGAAGTCAACTTGTGAATGAACATAAACTTACATCCATAGATAAGACAGTAGCAATAGCCTTATTCCTCGGAGAAAAACCAGAAGTATAGAAATATAAATGGGCTGATCTTTCGACAACATGTCTTTCTCGAAACCATAGCAAAAGTGAGTTCAAAATTGCTTGCCGATGATCCTACTTGATTTTTCAGTCTTTTTTAAACGAGCCCCAGTTTTTTACAACAGCGAGCGAGCCCCAGTTTTTTTAAGAGCGATTGCCAGCCATTACCACGATACAGTGTCTATCTAAGAACTAGCATACGCGAACATACGCGTACATGCAAACGAATTCAGGCAAATAGGCATCACGCATCACACTTTATCCAAACATATAAGCGAGTTGAAGCAAACAGGTATAGCACATCGCGCATCAGTTATGCGTACAAGAGACTTCAACTGAATAGGCATCGTGCACCACGTGTCAGACATGGCTATAAACGATTTTAAGCTAGCACACATCACACATCAAAGCACGTATGACGCTCGCATAACCGGCCGTGATGAGCCCTGTACGTTAACAGTTTGGTCGCTGACTTTTGATAAGAACAGATTCACTTATTTTCCCGTCTGGGTGGTCCTATGCTCTGTAGATGACCTTTGACCTTATGCTCCTCTCAAAGCTCAAAGCAATATACAGAGCACGGGACCATCCAGACAGGAAAATAGGTGAATTTATTTTCATAAAAAGCTGGCCACCAAATCTTAGCGTACAAGACTCATCGTGGCCCATTATGCGAGCATGATATGTGCCTTGATGTGCGATGTATGCTAGCTTAAAACTAGCTTAAGCGATGCCTGACGCGTGATGCACGATGTCTGTTCAATTGCAATTGCTTGCATATATAATTGGTGCGTGATGTATGATGAAAAATCGAGTAGAATCACCAGCAGGCCATTTTAAATTTACCTCGGCCGTTGTTTCTATAAAGGCATATTGCCAAAATATCAACCCATTTACATTCCCATTCTCCTGGCTTTCTCCGAGAAATAGGGCTATTACTATTGTCTTATCCGTGTGAATTATGTTCCTCGCAAGCGCAATTAACAACTTACAAAATTTGGATCCGTCTTATTCGACTACGACGGCACACATGCACGATGACAAGCAGCCGTTATGATCAGTTATCGAAAGAAGGGATTAGACACCGCCAGTTCGCTCGAAGCTGTCCGTGCGTGGTTGGTGATGCACAGCACGTTCCTGGCTATGTGGACGAAGGAAGCTGAGCCGATTGCGTCCAGGCGTTTGAGGTGCAGAGCGCAGCGGACTGAGACCGCGCCGGTCCGAGGGGGGCGGCCGGCGGAGCTGACCACTTACCACATGCCAACAGCGGGCAACGGCCGGAGAGGGTAATCAGCCCCCGATCCACGACAAACAACATAGAGCGGGGTGCCGTAGAGAGGGAGGGGGAGAGAGAGAGAGAGGAGGAGGGAGAGAGAGCGGGAGAGAGGGAGAGAGAGAGAGGGAGAGAGAGAGAGGGAGGAAGAGGGAGAGAGAGCGGGGGGAGAGGGAGGAGAGGGAGAGGGAGAGAGAGGAAGGGAGAGAGAGAGGGGGAGAGAGATAGAGAGAGAAGAGAGAGAGGGAGAGAGAGGGAGAGAGAGGGAGGGGAGAGGGAGGGGAGAGAGAGGGGAGAGAGATACAGAGAGAGAGAGAGAGAGGAAGAGAGAGGGGGAGAGAGAGGAAGAGAGAGTGAGGGAGACGGTAATCAGCCCCCGATCCACAACAAACAACATAGCGTGGGGTGCCGGAGAGAGCGAGAGTGGAGAGAGAGGGGGAGAAAGGTGAGAGGGGGAGAGAGAGGAGAGAGAGAGAGAGAGAGCGAGAAAGGAGGGAGAGAGAGGGAGGGAGAGAGGGAGAGAGAGAGAGAGAGGAGAGAAAGGGAGTGAGCGAGAGAGAGGAGGAGAGGAGAGAGAGGGAGAGATGAACATTTCGAAACTGCACTTACAAAGCGTTACTTGAAGTATTATGCCCAGCTTAATTATGACTTCACCCTAACCGACGACGCCGGCACCCCTGTTACGTGATGGACAAGTTTGCTTTGCTTAGCCCTCCGTTGAGTGAGGTGTCAGCATGCACTTGGCCAGTCCAAAACTCTGATCCACCACAAACTTGTTTATGCCTTAAACAAACGTAGTGTTGTAGCTTACACTTACATAATTCCTGGTATTAGAGGCCTTTCAGGTGTCATACTTGTCACTAAAGTGCTTTTACTTTTCTCTTACTTTTTGAACTACATTTGTGCTCGTCATCCCCCAATACTAACCTGGGAAATACCAATCCCTATTTGCTCTTCTGCTTTGTATGTTCAGCATCACTCCTTCTCCTAAAAGGAAATACCGCGGCTTTGCCATTCCCTGTTCCTAATTCGTGTTGACCTACGGTCCTGTGCGCCGCGGTGGACGGGGGTGGACACTCCCAAACATTTGTTTATCGGTGATGTGGAAACAAAAGTAGACGAAAAATAGTACGTCGCGACAGAAACTGATTAGTTTCTGGCGTTTACGTGTATAAGTTTGAACTTGTCCTAATTTGATCGATCAGATGACTCCATTTAACTCGGCATCACATTTCCTGTCTGGAAATGTGTCATTTATAAATGCTTGCGCGAGGTCATCACGTGACCTTACATGACCTCCACTCTAGTTCGGGTGCTTTACTTTTTCCGCCTTAAAACTTTGATACAATTTGTGAGTGTATTGAAATAAACGAGCTTAAAGAGGTTTCAGCACTTGAGTTCACGCTGCTTAGCAATAAGTGCCCAGGACTATGCTTACATATATATATATATATATATATATATATATATATATATATATATATATATATATATATATATATATACACACATATATATATATATATATATATATATATATATATATATATATATATATATGTGTGTGTGTGTGTGTGTGTGTGTGTGTGTGTGTGTGTGTGGTGTGTGTGTGTGTGTGTGTGTGTGTGTGCGCGTGTGTGTGTGTGCGCGTGTGTGTGTTTGTGCGTGTGCGTCTTTTGGGAATGTCGTTCGTTCTGGTTGGTTTAGTGCTATTTTGAGGGCATTTCGGGAATCTGCATAATATTCGTGGTCGAAGTATTTGTAGCATACCTCTTGTTTGCAGACACATATCGGCTGGCCTGTAATGTCCTTTGTAAGTCGAACATTTCGATTTCCTACATAAAGCCTTGACACATTTTGACGGTGTACTTGAGGCTTATTTTGGTACAAATTTCGTAAAAATCGAAGGGATCGTTGATTTCTGCTGAATATGAATACTGAAATGTTACTAATCTCACGCACGTACCAGGGTCGCAGCGGATGCCGTGGATGTTATGCAGTCATAGCCCAATAAAAAGTGGCAGAGATGGGAACAAGAAAACGCATCTGAAAAATGCCTCCGACTGAACGCAGTTGACAACCATCCTGACGCGCGCACAAACTATATAGCCTGCTTTCTTGAATGGAAAAGTGAAGCGTTTATTGTTTGCATTCCTGGAGTTCTGCCTTCATCACTTCCAACCAGTACCCACACAAAGGAACGTAAGAAGTCCTGCATGCATGGGTGGGAGAGTCAGTTGGCCACCAAAGGCCATGTGTAGGTGGGCAGCTCTTACGTCGATGGGTAAATGATTCCTGGTCCCTGCCTCTGGCAGCAGGACCGGGAGTGCCGCGCTTGCGGCACCTGTTGCGGCCCGGAAAGGATCTTGACGCCAGCTGCCGAACATTATTCTTGTATAGTGGAAGGCAAGGCTAAATATCCCAGGCTGGGGGTGGGTAGGGAAGGGGAGAGACCAGCCAGGATCAGGCAAGGTCACATTGGGTTTGAATCCCAGACCACATATTTATGGCTCTTGACATGCCCTGGACCACCGGCGCTCATTATGTCTCTGCGCTCGTAATTCGCATCGAGCAGGAACAGTAAGGCTGTGGGGAGGGGGAGCTGCCAGGCAGTCGGCGGAGCCGTGGGCGGGCGTAGTGAGGGCAAAAGTGGAGCGTTTCAGATAAGATGGGGTTACCTTCTAACGGGCCCATGTGTCCAGTCTTGCTGCTGCATTAGCTCTTCACCCGCGGTAGAATTCCACCGCGTTACCTCTCGGCGTCGCGTGCGTAGAAAACCCTAGCCGCTGTTCTTCGTTATGCTTCATGTCCCTGGGCGTCTTGAAGCATCGCCAGCTTCGATTTGGTTTCACGGACAACCGGGTACAGCTTTGTTGAATGGGTACTAGCGGCCTAGATATTCCATAACCGCCCGGTTCCAAACAAGGTGACATCATTGGTATGCCGTGAGGCGGCCAAGTCAATACCAGTTTGCCCGGGGGGTCATGCGGCTTTCCGATCAATTATCCGCTGCGAATGCTCTGTGTACGATAATTGATCGCAGCGCGTCCTGTGGCAAACTTTGATTTGATTCCGGGACCTAACTGCTGGTGCAAACACTTCAGTCTGAAAAATCACGACAGGAATATGACAATAAACAACCCGGCCCCCCTCCCCCAATAAGAGCTTCACGGTTTAAAATACACGGATTTGTATACACGCCAGCACCAGCCTAGTTTATCGTGGCGATGGCCGAAGTGCGGTTATCAGCAGAAATGCGATGCACCGCAGTGAAGTGCTCCTCGTGTCAACGCGAGAAGGTACTTTCTGCCTCAATCCAGACACATTCAACTTAAAGGCACTGATGATCAAAATAGTCGAGCAAAACACTACATGATGCCATGTCGTCTGGTTTATCACATTCGGACAGAGCTGGATTCGGTTGGCGGACTAATGCGTACGAATGCGACGCACAACAGCGCACCAGTCAGTCCGCTGCAAAAGCACGCTTCGGCGCGGCCCGGTTCACGTACAGTCCCACGCCGCGCCGCGCTGCCAGCCCGTCTGCGCGATGCTGACTGGCGATCCCTCCCCCGTCGGTGCCGCCGTCCCTGCTCCCATCGCCGAGTGCGGACCAACGAGAACACGCCCCACCCCTCGGCAGCATGGACCGACGAGACCATGCCCCATCCCTTGGCGGCACGAACCGACGAGACCACGCCCCACCCCTCGACAGCGTGGGCCGACGAGACCACGCTCCACCCCTCGGCAGCGTGGACCGACGAGACCACGCCCCACCCCTCGGCGGTGCGGACCGACGAGACCACGCCCCACCCCTCGGCAGCGTGGACCGACGAGACCACGCTCCACCCCTCGGCAGCATGGACCGACGAGGCCACGCCCCACCTCTCGGCGGGGCAGACCGACGAGACCACGCCCCACCCCTCGGCAGTGCGGCGGCAGCAGTCGGCGGCGGCACAGCCGCCAGACGCTGAGCTCCACGACGGGTCGGGTTCGGACCCGTGCGGCAGAGCACGGGCAGCACAGGCGGCCCGACGCACCACCTCAGCAGACCGAGGTCAGACATCGCTCAAGTCCCGACGGGAAGCCATGCCCTGCCGCAGTCCTACAACGGCGCCTCAGCGAGCGCAGCTGGGCGTGGCACCGCCGCGTCGGCAGCGTTGTCTGGTGACGCCGTCGGTGCCTGCTGGTGCGCCCATCGGCTCAGGTCGGTCGGCACAGCGCGCCACCGGTCAGCGGGCAACACAGTAGCGTTGAACTCGCAGCTCTTGGTGACCTGACCAGCAGCTCCGGCCGGCAGGCGATCACTGAGCCGGTCGCGCCGCCTGATTGAACACGCGGTCCTTAATGACCTGAGCCATCAGCCCGTGGATGACCTCGATGGTGGTTCGCGCAGTGTCCTTGTGCGCCTTGCTCAGCTTGTCTTCCATCTGCTTGTCCTGCAACAGCGACCGAGCGCGGGGTCAGATGACTGTCACCAGGTCACGGGGTCACGAGCGGTGACCGACGGCGCGCGTCCAACCAACTGTCACCAGGTCCTGGCACGAGCAGCTCGACACCATCGCCCCTTGGCGACTGGCCGGTGGCACCAAATTTTTACTCGTATTGTCTGTTCATGCACTTTTTAGGGCGCACTGCCCGTGCGTCAAAAGCAAGTGACGTAACGAGAAAAAGCGTGGCTCTATATACCCAACGGTAGCTTAGCTGGGAGCCTAAGGCGGTTCGCTCGTCGCAATGTACGCCATACCCAAGGTCTTAATGTCTGCTTACATCCTTTTGCTGCAATCGATAAAGCAACATCAATCGTTCACAAATAGCGGAAAATGGGTGACGTTCTAATCATTGAAACACGCGATCAAAATCTTCTGGGCTTCCCTTCACTAAAATCTGCCCGGCGCGACTATACAAAATACGGGAGAAGAGAGTAACTCCGGGGCCAGCGGGGTAGCCATTGGGAAAGTATAACGCAATCGGCAAGAGTACGACGTAGGCAGATGCGTCGTTTACAGTCCCGCGCTATGATCGCGCGTTCGATGCGCGCAAAAGTGCGACCGTTTTTTGTTCCGTCAGCTGAGCACACAACGACCGCAGCCCGTCGGACGGCGCGCAGCCACGTCACTTCTACGGGCTAAAGCCACCGGGCCGAGTCCAAAGGGTACGGCTGGCGGGAGTGCATTAGCAAGGCCGCTGTCCAGGTGAGATCCTACGTCTGATATCCCGCGTCATGAATGCAACCCCGGCCCGCTAGAACCGAACCGGAGCGCGGCACGTGTTCGCTGTATGCAAATGAAGAGACTGAGTTCGAGCGGTAACTGCAGCTTGAATCAGTATGACTGTCATTGTGAATACCAATGTGATTGAAGATGTACAACCGACCATGCGTGTATGCCGGCAATGCGATGCATACCTGTTTGCATCCATACCGATCCATGTCATGCATATCTTGCCGCGTGGGAATCATTTCGTGATGTTGAAAGCGCTGGGTCTGTCACAGGTACGATATTGGTATGCGGTGTACGGCAGTAGCGCAGGCGACACAGCTCAGTCGCGGCTCCAGAAAGTACAGAACTTCGACGCCGGCGCCGCGTCGGGAAGGCGGTAGTTTCAGCACATGCCTGGTGTGCCTGAACGAGCTTCCCAATAAGCCGCGATATGTTCGCACTCGGTTCCACTTTGTTACACCTCATCATACGCGAAACACGGCGCACCGACCATCACACTATGTCAAGACGAGAGCCAGATGTGATAAAAACACGTTTGTCCGGGAAGGTTAGGTAAGGTTAGGTAAGGCTGGATTATGTTAGGTTAGGTAAGGTTAGGTAAGGCTGGATTATGTTAGGTTAGGTAAGGTTAGGTTAGGTTAGGTTAGGTTAGGTTAGGTTAGGTTAGGTTAGGTTAGGTTAGGTTAGGTTAGATTAGATTAGACTGGATCAAATTAAATTAAATTACATGAAACAACGTTAGGTTAGGTAAGGTTACACGAGGCGAGATGCAACGACTCTGTTCTTAGACCATCTGCTGCTCCCAGAGCTGGGTGCAGTGACGATATGTCAGGCCCTTACCGACTACGCGATGCCTCAAATGATCAACGTTATCCTTTATCGTGAACTCATCTAAAACGTTTTCAACATTCAATATTTGAGCGCTACTCGAACCAGGACACCTATCGTGGGTTCATATACCTATTTGTTGTGAGAGGCTTTAGTTAACATAACATACAGCACCTGTAGTAGCCATGCATAAAAATACAAATACTGAATATGGCTAAAGCTCTGGAAATAACTGCGACCGTGGCTGACTGCAGCTGAACTGTGCGTGCCATCACACCGCGCCGGAAGAAGCCGCAGCATACGTGCTATAGTCGGCGGAGAGCACTTAGGAGACACGAGTGCGGGAGGAGGAGGGGGGGGGGGGGGGGGAGGCCACAGATGGGAGAACGAGACGGCCACAGTAACAAATAAAACTGCGTGAACAAATCCACAATAACACTAAAGACCCAGGGAAGGGAGAAGTCCAAGACAAACCGCCACACAGATTAGCCAGTCACACAAGGAGCATTCAGGAATCCGAAGCGCCTTCGGTGCCGGGAGCCACGCAGAGCGCCCGAACACGTAAAGCACGCAGAGCCCGGGGGTGTGTCGCCTCACCACGTCTGGGCCCAGCGAGAAGCTGCCGCGGCCGCACGAGCTTTCCGCCAGCTCCAGCTTGTTGGACAGGTCGCGGATCTGGTTGGTCGTGTACTCGGCGTTCTGCGGGTGAGGCATGGCGTCACGCGCGAGACAGGGCGTCACGGGCGAGGCAGGGCGTCACGGGCGAGGCAGGGCGTCACGGACGAGGCAGGGCGTCACGGGCGAGACAGGGCGCCACGGGCGGGGCAGGGCGTCACGGGCGGGGCAGGGCGTCACGGGCGGGGCAGGGCGTCACGGGCGGGGCAGGGCGTCACGAACGAGGCAGGGCGTCACGGGCGGGGCAGGGCGTCACGGGCGGGGCAGGGCGTCACGGGCGAGGCAGGGCGTCACGGGCGAGACAAGGCGTCACGGGCGAGGCAGGGCGTCACGGGCGAGGCAGGGTGTCACGGGCGAGGCAGGGCGTCAGTCACGGGCGGGGCAGGGCGTCACGGGCGAGGCAGGGCGTCACGGGCGAGGCAGGGCGTCACGGGCGAGGCAGGGTGTCACGGGCGAGGCAGGGCGTCACGGGCGAGACAGGGCGCCACGGGCGGGGCAGGGCGTCACGGGCGGGGCAGGGCGTCACGGGCGGGGCAGGGCGTCACGGGCGAGACAGGGCGTCACGGGCGGGGCAGGGCGTCACGGGCGGGACAGGGCGTCACGAGCGAGACAGGGCACCACGGGCGAGGCAGAGCGTCACGGGCGAGGCAGGGCGTCACGGACGGGACAGGGCGTCACGGGTAGGCGGCGGCCTAACACAGCGCCGGTCAGCAGTAACCGTGTACCGAGGGTGGCACGTACGTAGTACAGTCCACAACAGGTCAGCTTCGTCTCAGTGTATCCACCGTGGCAAGAGAACACTGATCGTTAAGGGGGCGGATCACTGACGGCCAAGTGGGAGAGTACAATTAGCAATATCATAGTGGATCAGCGCTAAAGCCACTACCGCCGCGATCTGATCGCCGGTGAAGCAATGACGTAGTCCGATCACAAATCACTGGAGCAGCGACCGATTCTTGCAAGTCGTTCAGACGCCCTCAGCGCCTCCCGCAAGCAGCGCATCCGCTCAACAGCCCCAATGCTCGTGAATCAGGTCAGCCGCCGCGAGCCTGTGGTCCGAACACGGCGTACCTAGTCCGGTCGCAGCACAGTTAACAGCCCCAAAACCGCGCACCAACGCCGCAGGCAAGTCCCGGCGTCTCCAGGCGTGCCTCTGTCGCACCGGGGCTGGGACGGAGACCGGCCCGCACACAACGTCATCACCCTCAAACACAGCCTGCCAGCACAAACCAGCGGCGGGTCGCTGTGTACGCTCAGGTGACCGGCCCGTTTGCTCGGTCGCGAGGCACGCGCTGACCGTGCCGCTCTGGTGCCGCCGGCGGCGGAAGGCTGCCGCGGCTGGGACCCGAGCCAATGCGAAGGCAGGCGATGCACGCGCGCAAGCAGCCGCAATGCAAATTAAGTTGTAGTGATCGAGGTACCCGCAAGGTTCCTTCGGAATAAATGAAGAGGAATTAAAAAGCTGATGGGATGTTACGCAGCACCTGCCACCAGATGTCAGTGACAAACAATGTATGTTGGCGTAATTGCGTAACCACGTCTAACACCTACCTCGCATGCTTGGACTTTTCGACTCTGACACAGTATGCAGCGCGGAACATAATTTCCGCTTCCGCGATAGACGCACCAGGTGAGCACGCCCCGACTTCCAGCGCCCGGAGAGCACATACCGCCCGGCTAGGTTACTGCAGCGTCCCGCAAATGCAGTGCCGTCAGGGAAGGGCTTCAAAATGCCGTGTTGTTTCGCCCACGCAGAGCTGGAGCCTCACGCCTCACGGGCGCAGTCCCGGCTCACACCGGCGCCGTCACGGATTTTGACAACCGCAACGAAAAAATCTCCAGTTTAATGTTTCTGTGCAAGTCTCCCAGCGACGTTAAAATCTGGTAGCCTCCAAACGACCTGGCCGTCTCCATAACGTCCCCTCAGAGTAAAGGAGTGCGGTGAGGGGACTGTGTGACTCGGAGGACAAAAAGAGCTGCCGTCGACGTCACTCGTAACGCCATGCCTTTTCGACTCTGTCCCGTTTGGTGTTCGCAACAGCCCGGACGTTGTTGTTTATTGGGGTTGACGCGCCCGAAAACTCCAATAAACAACAACAACGTCCGGGCTGTTGCAAACACCAAACGGGACAGAGTCGAAAAGGCATGGCGTTACGAGTGACGTCGACGGCAGCTCTTTTTGTCCTCCGAGTCACACAGCCCCCTCACCGCACTCCTTTACTCTGAGGGGGCGTTACGGAGACGGCCAGGTCGTTTGGAGGCTACCAGATTTTAACGTCGCTGGGAGACTTGCACAGAAACATTAAACTGGAGATTTTTTCGTTGCGGTTGTCAAAATCCGAGACGGCGCCGGTGTGAGCCGGGACTGCGCCCGTGAGGCGTGAGGCTCCAGCTCTGCGTGGGCGAAACAACACGGCATTGCGACAGCCCGGACGATAAATATGATATATTACGTCATGTAGAATCCTTGCCGGACGCGCAGAATCTTTTTCGCGACTCGATTGAAGTGATACAAAAAACGACGCAACAGATTTGGCTATAAAAAGGTAATTCCGCGTCCCTTGTCTCCGACCCTCTTTCTCGTAATGATAACTTATGTTTTCAATGGCATTAGTAATATTTCTTTTCGTTTTCATTACTCTCTATGAGCGAACGATCTAGCAATGTGTTAAACGCATGCTAATATGGATCAGGCAACGCATTAGATTCAACTAGCTATAAATGGTATCCACGCGTGGTGCATACGGTGGCGACTACAGATTTCCCCAGCGAAGTCAGCAGCAATTATCTTTTCTAGACAAAATAACATTCAACCTACAGTCCCCCTAAGCCTTAATGGTGAAATAATCCTTCTTGTTCACAGTTTTAAATACTTTGGCAGCACATTAGATTGTTGTCTTTCTTTCGATGCTCATTTTGCCGACATTAAGCAACGTTGCGCCACGCGACTCAACATTATAAAATGCATAGCAGGACGGCAGTGGGGTGCCGATAGACACACTCTCCTCTGCCTTGATATCTCCGCCGGCTTTTTTTGGCATTTCTTCCAAAAAATCGAAATCCTGGAGACCATCCTTAATGCTGCCCTCCGCATAGTGACTGGCGCACTTCGCACCTCCCTGGTCCCAAATCTGCTCGCGGACACAAATATCCCTCCTTATTACATCGGCAAAAATTGCAATATCTCAGATTCCACGCACGCGCCACGGCGCACGTTGGCAATCCCACATGCAATACCCTCATACAACTCCGCCCCAGCCGCACACTTACCAACGTGGAACTCCAGTACCCAACCATCAGCATCCGCATTATCCGAGCGTAACGAGCGCTTAATCTCTCGGACATTCCCTGCAGCCCGACGCCCAGCCCCCGATCGTTTTGGGGCGAACCTGTACCTAATGCAACATCTCTGTTCAAACCCCAAAAAAGCAAAACGCATCAGACACCGAAGAGCGTGCACTCTCCGCTGAGTTCAAAGAGGAAAATCACCTGAACATCTGTATATACATTGCTGGCTCCCGACGTGACGGTCGCACTGGGGCCGCCTTCATACATCATAATTATCATAAATAAAACCGCTTGCCAAAGTACAACCCGAAGTATACGGCTGAGCTAACAGCGATCCTTGCAGTCCTGTTCCACATCAAGAACGGTAACATACAAAGGGCAGCCCTATGCACAGACTCTCATTCGTCGCTACAAGCCCTCATCACACTTCATAATCCATCCTATCCAGTTGTAAGCGGTATACGTCGAACGCTCTGCTCCCTGCCTCAACGAACTCACGCATCATTTCTCTGGATTCCTGGAAACCCAAACATTCATGGAAATAACATCGCTGACGAGGAAGCAAAACGAAGTCTTATGTTACTGGAACGCGATCATCTTCCTTGTCCCGTTTCGGATATTCCTGCAGTCATCAATTTACATTTTCTTTTTTTCTCCAATACGATTGGGATCAACGCTCTCATCACCAGCTTCACCCAATCAAACCCATACTTAAGTACTGGCCGACAATTAATCAAGACAAGCGCCTCAAGGAAGAACTGCTTGCCGACTTCGCATCGGTCACACCAATATCACCCACTACCACCTTTTCGAGCGCACTCCTCTTCCACTATGCCATAGTTGTGATATCCAATTCACGATAAATCACTTCCTTCTCGTGTGCCTGGTCTATCAGCAATTACGACAACCGCTCATCAAGTACACCAACGCTAACCAGCTTCCATTCAATTTCCATTCTCTTCTCGGTGACTCTCATCATGACTCGCTCGTTCTCCTCTTCGAATTTTTTGCAAGTGCAGGATTAGATGATTTCATTTAACGAAGGGTTTTCCCGCCTAATTTGGCAAAAATTGCAGCTTTTCCCATTAGTTAGGAGTCCTGACCTTCCTAGCTAGGAATTTCCTGGATTAAACATCACACAGCACTTCAGGGACGTGCCGGGCAGCGGAGCCCGGGACTGCTCTCCCCATCGCTACGATGAAGCGGCCCGGCATCCATCCATCGCACAGGTCGCCGGCAAGTCCGCTGAGCCAAGGCCACTGTTGTCACGAACGCCATACACAGGACTCGCCGCACCCGAGGAGCCTGGCGAAGGGACCGGTGAGAAGGCTCACTTGTCGTTCCAGCGTATTGAATACGCGTTGTATGGTGGTGAAATACAGGTATCTATTGCTGCGGTTTACTTTACTTGCGTGACCTTTCTGGACAAAACTGAGCCAGAACTGAACTTAGCGTAACTTCAGCAATGCCCTCTCCCTTGCTTTGCACACGACGGCACAAGCCGTTGTAACGTAACCCTTGCCTGGCCTTGAGTTGGAAGTAATTGCCCCCTCCCTCAGAAATGGCTTTAGGCCGTCGAGGGAAAAGAGGGTTTGCATTGATCCACCAAAACAGCGTGCCTAGGACGGACCACGGGTGATAAAAAGGTGCTTCATACCTTACGCGTGTTACTTATTGAGCTGCAAAGATGCTCAGAAACGATTCCCCGTAGCATCACACAGAATCTTTTCCGGGCATGATCGCAGCGCGACTCGTTTTCTGTTTGCAGCTTCGCAAACCGTCGTAACAATAACTGCGTACCCAGAGAAAAAAAAATCGCCTGCATCTACTCTGAGTGCTCCTAGGAAAAAGCACCGCAAATTATGCTGTGTAACGTATAAAACACAGTTTTATCGCTCATGGCTGGTTTTAGGTGCGCAAATTGACCTCTTCACGACCGAACTTACTGAGTAATTTGTCTCAATCAGATCGAGCCGCGGACAAGGGTTCTGCGCGTGCGGCAGATTATATGTGACATCACAAACAATATTTTTCGTCCGGGTCGTTACGAACACCAAACGGCGCAAAATATATGGGATATGACGTCATCGGTGACGTCATAGGCATAGAACTTTCCCGTCTGGGCCGCTGCGAATACACCCGATAACATCTTCATGCACCCTGAATACACCCGCAAATCCAAAACGATTGGCAGAGTACGCATGGGATGGTGGTTGCTTCGGACATGCGAACACTACTGCAAGATCAGAGGCATAATTCAGGTTTGTCTTGATTTAATACGAAATAACAGTACACGGATACCAAGCCATCAAACCTGGAAGGGCAACGTGAAAGCCATAACGAACTGAATGACAGTGGCATTCCATTGGTCCCCTGAGCATGCAGTGCTCTAACTTTACGGAATACTACTCCAAGTCACGCGTCTACTCCTTGTTTAAACCATAAGATGAGCATTGATACTTTGGTAGAAGGGGTAATGCTTCACCTCATCCACACATGTGCGTTGGGACGTGAAATGAGCGCCGTGAGTGAAGCGCCATCTGCGGCCTACGGTGCGCAGTCCGGCATGAAGTCCTCCGTTCTCATCGGGTCCGCACCGTTACGGAGGCGCGGAGGGTTATCAACGCTTCTGCGCAAGCGTTATTTACATGTTCCTCCCACCATTACGGACGAGCACCTTTACGGAGCCGTTGCCGTGTCGCTGCGGAGTCGTTGTGGAGTCGGTGTGAACAGGGCTTTACTCTACAGGGCTCCGATCCGACGTCTACCTCGAATCAGCTCACTCTGGAGATCAAGCAACGCGCACGACGTGCATTAAGACAGGTAGATTGTCAGTGCACAGTACCGTGTCGCGAGGATTCCTTTCAAAACGGTGTCATATCACCCGCCCGGGGGCTCCCCTGGGCGTGCTGAGAATACGAGTCACTTATCGTTAAGTAGCACTGCGGAAAAGCTTCTGTCCCGCGATGATCGCCTGAATGCCTGGTGCGGGAGTGTTCGTGGCACGCGAGGTTATCTGATGTTCCAACGCCAGTTTCACGGAGACCAAAAGGGTCGATGTGGGTCACATTATCACGCTCTTGTCCCCACCCGCCCGCCACATGGCTCCAAGCGCGCCACGCTACGACCCGCGGTGGACCGATCGTTAACATCGCGAGGCATGTCACTTGTCATGCCGAGCCAAAAAGGCGGCGCCTCGAGCCTAAGATCGGGCCGGAGGGCCGCTGCCGCAGCGCAGCTGGGGCGCGGAACTGTCCGTATCGGTGGAAAGACCCACACAGGATCACGTACGGTCGCGTGCCTGACAAGCCGCAACCGTGAGCTTTGCGACCCTGCCGACGTGCCGAAGTCCGAGAAGATGGCGTCACGATAGAGGATTGTAAAGTTGAGGGGAAGGGGAGTTCTAAGCTGCATCCTTTCCGGTCAACTCCATAGGCGTAATGTTACATAACCATGTGACGGGAAAGGGGGGGGGGGGGACCACCCGAACCGCGCCACGACGTCGTCCCTGATCACTGACCGCAGCCAACAACCATGGCAGCACGACATTACCAGCAAATAATCGGCATAAAGTCAGCACCACACATGCAGCCAGTATCCTGCGCGTGGCGAGACGTGACAGTGGTACGATTTATAAATAAATAAATAAATAAATAAAGATATATATATATATATATATATATATATATATATCTATACATCTATATATATATATATATATATATATATATATATAAATGCAAAATCACAATCCAACCCAAACGCAAGGCGCATGCGGCAAAACGACACGAGGTTGGGGATGACACAGGCCCCATTCACTGATGACCCACACCTATATGGCATTTTGGAAAGGGTAGTGGCAGCATACAGCACACCGCCCAAAGGTAGCACGGCCGAACTCGAAGTTTGAGGACAGAAGAGGACACGGCGTGGCGAGACGACGGAATGGAGCCGTGGCACAGCAGGCAGACAGCGGACAACCATTGTCACAGTAGCCAGCCGAGCGGTGTCGACCGCCGGCTAGCGGAAGGAATTGTGCCACAGTTTGGTCACGGGGGAGGCGATCATTCCGAGACGCTCACCAACAAAACCCATAAAGACCACTTAGCAAAGCCTATCCTTTAGCGTTGTTCTGTCGCTGAAGGGAGCCTCGTTGACTAGCACAGAAACGGAAACCACACGATCGATGGAGGCACTTCCAGAACGGCTGATAAGGAATGGCATGAACTATGTTTTCTTCGTAACGCCATCTTACGTGCCAAACCCCGGCGGCTGCAAAAGGGACCCCCTGCGGCACAGAGCGCGGTGCCGCGGCAGGCCATGCCTCCGAGGGAGCAGCACGCGGCAACCAGACGCGCATGGCCGTACCGTAATGAGATTGGACGAACTGAGCGTGTTGATCCAGTACTTGTTCCACAGCGAGTCAAGCAGGCGGCGGTCCAGGTCTGACTTGAAGTAGGACACGTCCAGCGAGTAGTACTGCTTGCAGTGTACGCCGAAGTCCTCGATCTTCTCCAGCGGGATGGTCTGGTACTCAGACGGCTCCTCGTCCGCCGGCTTATAGCCCTGACAACGCCGACATACACATACTCAAACACTCACACAAGCTGCTACATTAAGGCACAATGGCGTCGCTATCATCACCGAAGAAGAAGAGGATTGAAAACGAAACTTTGCAACAACAAAAGACAGTAAAACGACAACGAAAATTAGCCCGGTGTTGGTGTCTATATATATAATGCATATATAGCTTAATGTGTGTGTATCTGTGTACGTACGTAAGATCTTTCATCAATGCTATTTAAGGGCTATTAAAGGGTATGTTTCACATTTGAAGATATATAACACATATATATATATATATATATATATATATATATATATATATATATATATATAAACATATATAGCAAGCATGCATCAGATATGATGAAACAAGCTCACTTATGACTGTTGGTATACTTTTTAAGTGGAAAAGACTGTTCTTGACAGCACCATTCTCTGCTTAGGAAATATGCTCCTGAAAGCGTCATAGTTTCATTACGTCATCGTACCATGCACAACACTGAGAACCAATTGACAGCCGTTATATCTGAAAATTGTACTCACGGACACCCGATATGAACGCCTCGACAAATACAATTTTTTCTTGGTCTTAATCGCCGCATGGTTTATGGAATGGCAAAACTTGAATGGCGTTATTATGACGTCATGAATGCTAAGTTGACTCTGAAATACTCTCCCCGGTATACCTTTCCCCATTTTCGAGGCCGTTTAGCTCAGCAATTAGAGGGGCTTGGGTCTTAAGAAGGGCAGCACTGTGAGCAGCACACAAAGGTCTTCGAGATGACTACTTCAGTCCAAAACCCGATATAAATGTTGAACACTCCCTTAAAGTTACAATAGGGATATGTTTGTGGCTGATATCTAAGAATTAGGAATGCAGCTCAGGACATATCGTGGAATTACGGAAACAAGACAATCGTGACTGCTGCTAACCATTCAACCATGTCATCGACATCATGACAAAATTAGTACCGCAGTGACACAGCAAACCAGAACAGCAGGACAAATGTTTACAATGAGCTGCGCAAAAAAAAAAAACGCCAGGATTGTCGGCTCGCAGCTCACCACCCGCGCCGGTCCGTGCGGCGCCTCACCTTGGGGTAGGTGCGGAAGGCGCCCAGGTTGACTTTGCCGGCCGAGATGGTGCGCACAGGATCGATCACGATCGCCACGAACGGCTCCTGGAAGTTCTGGTTCAGCATCTGGGTGGAGACGTCAATGCCGGAGAGCCAGCAGCCGTAGCCGGGGTGTGAGTGGTACCAGCCGATGGCGTTCTCCAGCCGGCCGACCTGGGGTCACCGGGCGCCGCCGGGTCACACGTCACCACCGCAGTTCACCAGCCTGACACATGTGACCGCGGCAGCAGGTTTTGGTTGATGGTGCCCACCTCCCACGCAGGGTCGGACAGCGGCGGTCACGGTAAGAAAGCGCATACACGCAACAACGCAATGGTCCCGCAAACACGGCCAAAAGGGTGGACTCTAGGGGCGCTGACAGCTACGCAATTTGTGCGCATTTAGTCAAAACTCGTGTGGAGATGGCAGCAGCTAACATACTGCCAGCCCGTCCAACCCACTGATACGGCCCACCGGATCCTGTGAAGCGCCAAAAAACCAGCCAAACAGCCAGCAAGACGTCTACAAACCTGACGCCACCACGAATTAGGACAACCCGCAAAACGGCACTTACAAAATAATACAACTATAAGCCTGTGCGCCGCCGATGCGTCCGGCTCAAAATACGAACACCACGAACGCATTGTGAGCAGCTGATGGCTCAGCACGGCTCAGTATAACCCCAGGAATGAGGTGTGCTCGCCTGACCGCCCAATTACCTAATCCGCGGTGTTACTCGCGGGCTCACACGACACGCCAGGTAGCGTAAGCCTGTCTCAGGGCCGGCCAGGCCGGACCGTGAGCGTCGGCTCGTAGCGTCGGCCCGGGGGCGAGCCGGCCAGCCAGCCAGTCACGGCGCAGCCGCCTCTGGAATCCGCCCCCGTACCAGCTTCGCACGTGAGCGTCGGCTCGCAGTACCGGTTTGGCGGCGAATGGGCCGGTCAGGCCCAGCGGCGCCGGCCTCCGGAGTTTCCCCACCCACCAGACGTCGCGGCGGCAGCGTCACAGTCACGTCACGACGGCCCGCCGCGCTGCCGCCGTCTGGCCGCTCCGAGCGGCTCGTCAGCCCGCCCACTCCGCAGTCGGCGCCCATAACCATCACAGCTGGCGCGTCCTTCAAACCCAATTACCAACTGAGAGTCCCAATCGATGTCCACACCCCACAACCGCCAAAGGACAGCTGCAGCCATGTCTGGCGGTTTCCAGTCTCATCGACGGTCCTGGCCCGATTACGCACGATTCAGACCACCCCTCGGTGCCACAGGTGCTCAAACGCCGCCACAACGGCTCCTGGTCTCCACTCCCACCCCCAGACGACGACCCACGGCCCAGCGGTGTGCCGGCCGCGCCAGCCCGGAGCGGGAAGGTGTGGGGACGTACCTGCTTGGCGCGCTCCATGTACGTGGCCATGTACTCGTAGGCCTGCGCCTGGGCATTGACGCGGGTCTCGGTGCCTTCCACCGGCAGCGCGTACGAGTCCATCACCATCATGATGTTGCCGTCCACCTGAGAAACCGAGGCGTCCGGCTACGTCAGGACAGCACGCGACAGGTGACATCGGAGGCGCCTGGCCGTGACTCGTAATGCGGGGCCGCCGAGATCGAGCTCGAGCCTGAGACGGTCGCGGGCCGGCTCAGCATAGCCAAGCTGCAATTTAAACACCTGTGGCCGGTTCTGCTGATACGTGCATGAGGTCTGAAGGCGGCATACCTGTTAGAGAGAAAGCCGTCGTTTAGGTACCGTCTTGGAACAGTACAAGGTCCGTAGTATCATTCAAAAGCGTCGTCATTTCCCCTGGACGTAAGTAGCAGATTTGGAGCTTCCATGCACGGTGGTCGATGAGGAGCGCGGAATCCCACGAACATCATATTTACATCAGTTGGGCGTAAACAAGATCACGCCAAAAGAGGCCAATAATCTGCCTTGCTGCCTACGTGACTGTAATGGGCTCACACATCGGAGGTTGATGGCCAGAGTCATCGGTCCACGCACGTGTTTGTGCGTTAAGGATTGTGCCTTCCCTCGACTCCACATGCATCTGGGTGTCAAAACACGGTGATGTCATATACGCACCCCTCCACACATATGAATACGCATCAGTTCCGTACGATGTGGGCACACGACACTCGGAATGCAATAGGATGTTCCCCTATCCAAACACATAGACGCATGTGCGTGATATGAGTAAGACTGGACATTGCCCTCAATCGAGGGATGCGTATCTTATCATGCTGAAACTTACGCGCTGACAAATATACTTCACAATCGCTCTCTATGGTGGAGACATCCGAGTTGCATGGTCTATGCCTACAAATAACAAGAATTTCAGATTTACACTTCGGGCTTGGATGATCGTACCTGGCCGGCGATTTTCCAGGCACAGGTGTTCTATTGCGGTTGTAACGCCATCATTTGTTTCTAAACCACACCAAGAATGAAGACCGTTACATGAATTAATTAAATGTGTACGGGACGACGTGGCATGATAGCAAAGTATGAAAGACGCGTTTAATAAGCCCGCAGAGCGGGAAGTGGTCACCATCGAGGTTTAAAGCTACCGAGAGGCATATGTGGAAGAGAACGACCAACCATACACGGGCGTCATGACGCACACGAGAGATGGCGTGCTGTGAAGAATGAATTATGACAGTTTCAAATGACAGATTGGGGCTCAAGGTGATCATTAGTGTAGGATAGCTGTTCACTATGGTTTTAGGTCACGCCATTTGCTAAGGTAATACTGCGTCCAGATCGAAGGTGCTACACAGAACACGAGGAGCTTTGTAGGCCGACGTGCGGTATTGGCGCACCCAGTTCCCCAACAGAGTGTGATGGCTTGAGTACCAGCAGAGTGTGATGGCTTGAGTACCTGGTACAGTTTGATGGTTTGAGTGCCCAACAGAGTGTGACGGTTTGAGTACCCAGCAGGGCATGATGGCTTGAGTACCTGTTACAGTGTGATGGTTTGAGTGCCCAACGGAGTGTGACGGTTTGAGTACCCAACAGAGTGTAACGGTTTGAGTACCCAACAGAGTGTAACGGTTTGAGTACCCAGCAGGGTGTGATGGCTTGAGTACCAGCAGAGTGTGATGGCTTGAGTACCTACCTGGTACAGTTTGATGGTTTGAGTGCCCAACAGAGTGTGACGTTTGAGTACCCAACAGGGTGACGGTTTGAGTGCCCAGCAGGGTGTGATGGCTTGAGTACCAGCAGAGTGTGATGGCTTGAGTACTCAGCAGAGTATGATGGCTTGAGTACCAGCAGAGTCTGATAGCTTGAGTACCCAGCAGAATGTGACGGCTTGAGTACCCAGCAGGGTGTGGTGGCTTGGGTATCAGCAGAGTGTAATGGCTTGAGTACCAGCAGATCATGATAGCTTGAGTACCTGGTACAGTTTGATGGCTTGAGTACCCAACAGAGTGCGACGGTTTGAGTACCTAGCAGGGCGTGATGGCTTAGGTATCAGCAGAGTGTGATGGCTTGAGTACCAGCAGAGCATGATGGCTTGAGTGCGCAACAGAGTATCATGGATTGAGTACCCAACGGAGCATGATGGCCTGAGTACCAGCAGAGTGTGATCACTTGAGTGCGCAACAGAGTATGATGGCTTGTGTATCCAGCAGAGTGTGATGGTCTGAACAGCTGTGTCCAGTGCTGGACACAGCCAGCCGCAGCAGGGCAAGAGGGGCTCCATGGCGGACACAAGCACCAACACGTGTCTATCCTATGTGAACAGGCAAGTCAAGAAAAGCCTGGAGGGCGATAGTAACATCTCTTGGCCGGACGTAGGCGACAGCTCCTAATGAGCGGTCGGTTCGGGGCGCGGCGAACAGGTCAAAACATGCGATGCCACATGCTGGCAAGACCCATCAGCTCCCCGAATCAGCACCAGCTGCCTGTTCCAGGCCCTGCCGAGGCTCTCTGTGTTCAGGGACGACTGCAACGCAGGAAACAGCCAAAAGCTCCCAATCGGGACAGCGAGAAAGCTCAGCAGCTGAGGGAGGTGAATATGATATTGTGTCAAGACTGGTGGCACACGCGCCAACATGCCGTGATCAACGTCAGACCTCCGATGTGGGTCCCACGAGCTTGAGCTTGACCTTAACTTTGACCTTGCTGGAGCTCTCGCTCTGGTGGCAGAAGCTGGCCTAGGTGCGCTCATTTGCATTCCATGCCCACATGTTGGCCACATCAGAAGAATGGGCCTCAATATTTCATGTCGGTCTTTATATGTGAAGTTATAAGTATTATGCAAGAGTTGGTCTGCCTCCCCACGCACACTGTTTCAAGTGTTGGTATGCAGCCTTACATAAGTACCTGTGTCAAGCGTGTGTGCAAATGACCACAATCAAGATCGTCGATCACGGTTTTCAGCGCTCTTACGCTGAACGTACTTAAGCTCCGAGCAGCAGTCAATAGATGGCGAGTACACTGTTTACCCGTCTGAATACCGCTGCACTGACCACCGGATCAGTGCTTGAACAGCAAAGTTACCTTGCCAATGAGCATTCCCATGACTTCCAAAGAGCCACCAGAGCGAGCGTGCATCACCATCTTCAGCAGGGCAAGAGCAGATATTTTAATGTCCTTGAAGAAGTGTGGGCTGTTGGAAAGGCAGACACATAACAGAGTATATCAGTACACAAACAAACAACAGAGTATATCAGTACACCACATCAATGATTTGCATACACCTACCATTCGCCAAATCTATTTGAATGTGTTAGACAAAAATCAACCAGACTGTGGATCTACCCGTTAAAATACCTGCGTACTTACAATACGAAAGCCGGGTTATTACCTGTGGGACACAAATGAGACATTCATTGAGGTAACCAGAAAGGCAACCGCCAATTGCACCACTGACCTCGATGTCCACAGTCGCAATCCTGGCAGTAGCCCTGGCGGATGTGCATGGAACTGTGTAGCACGGAGCCGCGTATCGACTATGGCTCAGGCCCGACACGCGGTGACCGGGCCACCCCACACCGCCCACCCCCTCCCACACTCACTCCTTATCCCAGGGCTTGGCCGTCAGGATGTCCTGCTGCTGCTTCTGGTCGAAGCGGTACACCTCGTCGACGGCGCTGACCGTCTCCATGTTGTTGGCCATCTCCCAGCGCCTGCGCGCCACGGCCGACTGGCTGCTGCCGGAGGCCATGCTGACGCCGCTGTCCGCCGCAGACGCTCGCAGACGGACGCCCCGCCGCCGCCGGCCGGCTCACAGCCTGCAACCAGACGTGACGGCGGCTAGAACGCAGCGGCCGACTCAGACACATTACTCGCCCAACGGCTACTCACGAGGAGGCCGTCTACCGTGAGTGATGGGGGGAAAATACCGGCTCATACAGCGCAATGTTAGGAATGGACTCAAAACAATTAAGAATCAGTGAAATAAGAAAATAACAACTTTACATTGCACATTCGAACACAGGCTTAACCAGCGCCGCAGGTTCGAACGCTTTTGGACTGTATCAATGCATGGAGCAGTATCAACGCACGGAACAGAGGACAGGAAGCACACGTCTCCGCGTCGGGCGAGACTGACTGGTTGCACGTGAAGTGTTATCAATGTGTATAAAAGTAGTCTGATCTGTGATGCAACAGAAGTGAAAATGCAGCTCAACAATGTATTCTGCGACGTTTCGACCCTTGACACTACCAGCTATTTGTCCAGTATCGAAATCACAGGTTAGGCCTCTTCTATACACCTTCGGCAATAACGAGCCTCACCAAAGGAGCATTCAAAACTGCATTGGAATATGAAAGAAAGGTTCACCGGGTTTCGAAAACGGGCGAGCCACTCGCATTAGTAGTTGTAGTAATTCGGGTGCATGACATTGTTCTTTACCAGACAAAACTTGGCCTTGGTACTTGGGTGTAAATGAAGGAGTTAAAGACTGTTGAGCCAATAGCAATATAGAAATTGGTGTTGACAATCTTTCACCTCCATATCTTTAAGTGGCATGGCCACTGAGATGGTGTTGGCACCTAAATATTTTTCAGGATAAAGAAAAATATTTCATGTCATGTATGCTTTTGGCACATATCAAACATCCACAAATTCCTGATTTTGTTTCTTGCCACAAGAAACTCAAAACAATGACACAGCTTACAAAATATTTCTAGGTTTACATGACAAACTTCAAGAGCCTTTTTAGTCCTGGACCCCACATGGATTGTGCATGTTGGTGCCCACAGAAGAGAAGATAGATGAATATCTAGAGGCACAGGCTTAATCAACATGGTCAAAAATTCATCTGTAACAGTAGTAAGCCACAAGCTGCACAAATTCATATGTAACAGAAGTAAGTCACAAGTAGAAAACAACAGTAAGTAGCCACAAGCTGCATTTGAGGGCATGTTTCCTGTTATGACAGGTGAAAGGGCTGAAAGATGAGCAAAACATGTAAGCAATGTTTCTTTCTAGCAGGTTTTATATATAAATAACCTGTGTTAAAGTGGGCTAGGGGCAGAGCAGTGCTGGTAACAAAAAGGTAACACATAGAGTTCAGTCCTACTTAGCACATGATCATAAATGGCTTATAATGGTTATTAATCAGACCTGTTACACATACAAGGCAATTAGGCATCATCACCCATGGTAGTGCACACCATTGGCATTGGTATTCTCCTTTCTTAAAGCAAACTGGGGTATTAAGTTGCATGAATGACTGGAGGGAACTGAACCAGGGGTCTGACAGCCAACCCTTCTCCAAACATGATTTATCAATGAAAGTCAACATGAAAGGCAAATATACAGGGTTTCATTCTTTACAATATAGGGTGCGGCAGGACCTTCACAACAGAACACAAAATTGTCACCCTTAAACAAAACTGTTCCAAAACAGCAATGTTACTGTGTGTATTAACACCACAGGGGTAAGGGGAAGGGGTTGTCAGTGTGTATGAGCCATATCAGGACAACTCTCTTGTCAAACATTTTGAAAACAGGGTTGCATAATGAATAGGATAATAACAGGAGTGAACAAACTAAGTATAGCACACTGAGTCATTACTATATTGTACTAAGCCAATTAGAATGGAAATTCAATGACACATGCATACAGCAATTACAGTTTAAGCCATATAATTCAGCACCATTGCACATGCAATGAAATACATACCCTAGTAAAAAAACTGAAAGCTGAGTTTGGTAGCATCAGTGCAGTCCATAGCATAGACTTCCCACATTCTTGGTGGCATTAGCTGACTATGCTACTACCTTTGTTACCATAAAATTCACATGCATCCTGACTGTAAAACATCCTGACTGTCTGCCATAGTGGCAGACAGGGTCACAGATGGACACCATTTCAGCACAGATATACCATAAACCAGAGTAACCTGAGTTTAATGAGTAGCCACTTCTAATTCCAGCATATGACAAGCAAATTATTAAATAAATTTGAGTATCACAATGGTAATTTTAGGCAAAAATACCTGCAAGAGTGAACATATACTTCATGCAATACCATAATACTTCACCACCCCAAACAATTTACCCTGGACTGTATTTAGACCACACAGTAGGCCCTGAGGCCCAGTACCCATGGACCAAGTTCATGTTGATATCCTGCACAGTGGATGCAATTTTGTAAGCAGACAGTGAAAAAGGTTTACCTACCGTGTTGGATGCCCGCATGATATTGGTACAACAAAACCTGAAGCAGTCATGCTCCAAAATCAGACCAGGCTAGAATGTTATGAACTTTCAGATTACCTATACCTGCAAGCATTTTGGAGCATTCTTCCTGAAATTATTTTGTTAACATCAAACCTCCTTGATTCTTCAGCCTTTTTCTGAAATTAGTGGCGACTGCAGCAGACTTTGAGTGCTCATACTTATGGCATACTCATACACTGTCAATGTTGAAGCAATGTCACTGGTACACCAGACACCTTAAACACCACAGGTATTGTAGATACCTGTGGTCTGGGTGTAAGGTACCTACCTATTTTATATGCATGCAAAACATGTGACCTCTTAACCAGCCCTGTAATCCCAGAGGCTTGACAGCAGGTAAGATGTGTTCTGATGCCCATATGGTAAGGGGTCTAAGGCAGACCACCGGTACTGACCAAAAGGTGGGGAACTTGCAGCCCCTATTCTGTGCGCTATGCCGGTAGCAAATTCACCTGAGAGCCGGAAACCTTCCAACTTCCAAAAAAATGAGGCTGGAATCGGACTTTAAATCGCTAAAAACGCAGCTGCTACAAAGCCACAACTTGGGATCCCGCAAAATCTCGCTTCCGGGACCCCTCACAAAACGCCACTACTCGAGGACCTGTGCTACCCACGAGCAATCGTCAACCAAGTCAAAAGGTACGCGCTAAAATTGCCGCAACTCTGTAATAATCGTCTAATTTGCACGACTCAATCTTACACATTGTAGCTGCCATATCGTAAAGTACTTGCACCGCCCCCTTCACCGCACAACAAAATGCTTGGGCCACGCTCGATCTCAAACGTGCTGACTGGGCGTTGAATGCTGTAAGCATGACTGTCGGGTGAAAGGCGTGACGTTACGCGTGCTCATGGATGTCAATATCTCAAATTGCTTGGTGGGCCAAATTCTCGAAAGTCGCCATAAGGGGGCATGTGCGGAAAACTCCCCGAGTTTGCCACTTATGATCTAGGTTTCAATGTACATATATATATATATATATATATATATATATATATATATATATATATATATATATATATATGTGTGTGTGTGTGTGCGTGTGTGTGTGTGTGCGTTGTGTGTGTGTTTGTGTGTGTGTGTGTGTGTGTGTGTGTGTGTGTGTGTGTGTGTGTGTGTGTGTGTGTGTGTGTGTGTGTGTTTATGTATGTATGTGTGCATGTATGTGTGCATGCATGTATGTATGTATAGTAGGGTGTGTCATCAGTAACAAAACCAAGTGAGACAAAGAAATTCCTTGGCGCTGGAGTCCAAAAGTGCACAGAATAGCAAAATTTATTCCCAAAAACTTATATTAGTGAAGCGCGAGCAGATCAAAATATCGTCGTAAACCGGTGCTCGGCGTTGCAGTCACCAATGCTGACCGCCGCAGGCCGCCGCAGGTAACACCAAACCGTGGGCGGCAAGGCAACTTCGCCAATGGAAACGATACTACCGAGCCCGTCCCAAAGCGATACGTGCGGAAATGTGCCATACTAAGGTCCAGTATGAGGTTCAGACATTGATCGCTTGATGGCCATATGTTCAAAACCTAATGTGTTGTGAAGTATGAACTTGTGCGAGCACGTTTGTTAATGCTGCTTTTTGACATCCACTTCTCTAAGACCGCCCATGTGCTGTAAACAAGACCATTCATAGCATATTACTTAGAATATATTACCTGGTGTACAACTTCAAACGAACACCAATGTCTGCAGTATGCACCATGGTCTTGGAGAGGGGTTAGCATAACCGAACACACATCTTGCTCCTGACCGAGCCTGCGTATTCGATACATTGGCTGAAACAGAAGCTGCTGAGAAACCGGGAACCCGTAACGCGTGTTGGCAGAGGTCGCACAACAGCAAAAGTACCGTCACAACCGGGTTACTCTATTCCCGAAGCTCCAGCCGCAGCCGCAGATGTTCTCGGCTGTGCGACGCTGGCCCCACTCTGATCAGCAACGCGTGCCCGGGCACTGCTGCACTAGCCCCTGCCGGGCTGGTTGACCTGCGGCGGGGCCGTCTCCGTTCTGCGGGCTGCACGTCTTAAACGTTCCTGCCGTTGTGCTGCTGAACCAGAAGGCAGAGGCACAGTACGTGCTGCTTGTAGGAGCGCCGAGTGCTGGTCTAGCGGTGCGCTGTTTGGTCTCTCCTCTCGAAAGACCGTCCTGCATCCGTGCAGCGGGCGGACGCAATGACGCGGTGGCGGAGGCTGCTGTACTGGGGCCTGCTGCTACGACCACCTTAGGCAGACACCTTTAAGGGGACTGTGATGGAGGCACAATAGTCACGAAATTACTTAAAAGTGAAATAATGCCTGTTGTATTCATGCATGCATTTACAATTTGCAATTGGCCCAACTTCGGCCATAAGATAAATACGAATTTGAGGGATTGTAAAGAAGCTTTAAGTTGAAACGGGAGTATAACGCCTCTGAGAATGTGATCAGTTCATAATTACCTGCCTACCTTCAGAGCATATCCTTCTTAGAGTTGACATTAGGAAGAATATGTCGGTGTATGAGCTTGGCCGTGATGAGGCCATGCCGCGCCCCTTCTCTCATCACCGCCGAACGTGCTTCGGTGACGGTGTGCACGGCCCTGTCCACCGCCTGGGTATGAACCGGATAAGGCGTGATGGGCAATGGAGCGTGCACTATGCTTCGCGGCTCGCGGTCGCTGAGGTCTCGTAGGAGTGGGGGTTGCGTGACTGGCTCGCGCCAGGAGATAAGCTCCAAAAAGCTCACGGCCTCGAAGTTGAACGTTGGGATTGTGAAGATCCTGGGCCCCTCGGTTTGCTGCTCATGCGCGGCGCTGATGATTTGAACCGCCTGTTCGCGGACCACACGGTCCTCGTCCGCCACCATGGCCAGCAGCAGCTGTTCCGGATGGGCCCAGTACCCGTTGCGCTGGATGACTGGCTACAACGTGGTCCGTGTGCGCTGCGGCAGCTCGCGGAGCAGCGTGATGCTTCGGAACAGGTTGCGTTAGCCCTCGTCACTGCTGCTGTTCTGTCTAATGGAGAACCACACCCGCACATAGTGGCCAACCATTTACTGGACGAGGTCCTTGAGAGCCCTGCTGGGAATCTCGGTGGAGATGTAAGCTCGGAGCAGGCGAGCGGCCAGTGTCAACCATCTGAAAACGAAAGAACAAGATCAATTAAAACAATTTGTCCCGAACTGAGCACTAGATCACACGAAAATTATTTCATTTTAACGCAACGGCAACACTTATCAGCAAGTTTACTCGTGAGCATGAACCAATGAGTAAATAACATGACATACTATGGCACAACGCATGGCAATGAGTAAGTGCTTAACGATGAGTACATGAGATGCCAAATGATGCGTGAAAAAAAATTCAACATTCATTGCTATGAATTCGAAGACACATGACAGTACTAGTAGCATTGGTTTTGTTTAGCGACCGTACTAATAACGTGGTTTGGTGTACGTAAAGATATATCGCCGAAATATCAATATATCTATTTCTCCATTTTCCTCGATATTCTGCGTGGAATAGGGCTATTACTACTGTATTATCAATATGCATGATATTTCCTGCCAATGCAGTTAAAAACGTGCGAAATTAGAAGACACCGTGCCTTCATATTTGCCTAGCATGATTCAGAGGTCCGATTCGCCGCCGAGCTGTCGCGGTCCGGACAAAGCCATTTTGTACGCCTGAGGTCAGCAGGTACAGCAGCTGCTGATCGGTGGTCAGCTGCTGGACGAGGTCGACCGGCAGCTTTGGCACATGCCCTGGCACAGGCTTGAATGCCACAACGTCCCTTTTCCAGACCTCTCCGGGGCAGATCTTGTCGATGGGTCCAGAAAAAGATTTCGGTCCCGCAGTCGTGCCGTCCAGGCTCAGCAGCAGGTGGCGTAAATTCAGCTCATTGCCGTGCAGCTGACAGATGAGCCAGTGCACGGGTGACTCAGTGACTCAAACAGCCGGCACATTCCACCTGTCATCCCTGTGTTGACGGCCGTGCCGTCGCAGCCGGGGACCTTGACGTAGCCGTCGAACTGCTGGCTCACGGAGTGTAGCTCATTGAGTAAGTGCAGGGCGTGACCGGTCTCGGGCGTGAAGTGAGGCACGTAGCGGCTGCCTGGCTCAGCGATGACAACCGAGTGCTCTTTGACGGCATTCGCGTGGCTATGTGTTATGCAGGTCCTGCCTTTGCGGCCATCGAAGTAGAGACTAGTCAAAACTGACTCGTAGATTGATTCCGCATTTTGGAGCGCCGCCTCTTTTTTCTAGATCTGTCTCTTACGCGCCAGATCTAGGATCTACGGCATCTGAATCAGCCAGTCCGCCTCTGCTGTCCTGTTGGAAGGCGCTGATGATGGCAGCAGCCGCCCGGTTCGGGACACTGTAGCGGTCAACCGCAGGAACGGTGTTGGTGAGATCGCTAAAGTTACGATCTGCAGTGACAGCAGTCTCATCTGGAACAAAGAAATCGGCGTCGTCGCCACTTTCCACCATGCGCGAAGCCGTGCCAGATTCCGCACTCTCGGCTGACTCGCCAGCGCTGAGACCACTCGGTCCCGGAGCAGGCTCGAATTCAGCACTAGCAGCCAGCGCTGGCTCAGCAGGCAGCATGGGCTCAGCAGCCAGCGGGGGAGGTGACTCAGGTTCAGCAGACACCGCCCCACTGGCGGTTGGGCTAGGACACTCCTGGAGTTGTCTGGCCATCCTCCGGATCTCGCGAGTCTCCCTAGCCACAGTCGTATCCCGGTCATACGTCCCCAGGGAAAGCCTCCGGTGCATCCGTTGGTCTTTTAAGAAAGCAACCTGTTCTTCCGGCACTCTGTAAGCAGCTGGACATTTGCAGTTGCGCTGGGACTCACACTTACATTTTGCCATGTCGAGAAGCTTATTGAACTTCGCGGTAGCGACGCCGTTCTGTCCTTCTCTTTCCTTTTTTTGGTATTTTGCGGATAGCTTTGTATGGTTCATAGTAGTCCCTCTTGATTACTTTTGTGACGTATTTTATACTATGAACGGGGATCCCTTCGTTCGTCTGCAGCTCACTGGTTTCCGCCGCCCTGGTCTTGAAGACGGTATTAGTGGGATTTTTGTTTGATTCGCTTAGACATCTGATGTAAGCTAAGGCTTTCCCTTAGTCGACAATCGTTGGTGGGAAAGGGGCGCCGGGTGACCTATCACAAAATGTTTTGTATGTGACCGCGTGGCCTTCGGCATGCTTATCCAAGTAGCTACTCGAAAGGAACGTTTGAATACCGGCAAACCAAACTTATACCCTCTTATAGCCCATACGACGAACACAGAAGCCGCAATCAGTATCACAATGATGCGTAAACAGTTGCAACCTTTAACTTTCTGCTGTCTGCTGGAGCATTTTGGTACATAACCAATTAATAACGTTTTTTTCATAAAAAGTGAACTTATTATCTGTGAAGCAATTTTTCATTGATATCCTTCTTGATACATACTCCGTACTTAACTGACGGTCACTTCAAATCAAACTAGAAACATTTGATCCATCAGGTGACGGTAGTATGGAAAAATGAATGGGATATGTCCATAGATAACGCCACTATTGATAATAGATGACGCTAGTATTGAAAACGATTTTCTTGGCCCAGAT